GGGATTTCGGTGAAACCCTACTTTTCTTTTTTATTGGCTTCGTTTCGACACGCGATATTCGGTGGTAGTAGAGAGAGAGAGAGAGGGAGAGGGGAAGAGAGAGAGAGAGAGAGAGAGGCAGGGAGTTAGAGAGCAAGCGGGGAAGAGTGAATGAGAGAGAGAGAGAGAGAGAGAGAGAGAGAGAGAGAGAGAGAGAGAAAGACGGTGTCCAAGAGTGCATCAATGATCGGCTTCGCGAAACATCCAACGAATCTCTCAGCCTGACCCAAAAAGCGGCCGAATTCGGTGATAATCCCATAGATTTTTCTAAATTAAGGGTTTGATACCGTATTAAAGAAGAGTTTCAACCCGTTAAATGGCAATGGATCTCTCCTAATATAAAATAACGTATCCGGAAAGCCCAGGATTATCATCACCTTTTTGCCCAGGCATTGTCTGGGAGCCGGGCGGGGAGTGCTAATCCCAAAATTGGTTCACTGTTTGTATCGGGGTTTTGTTGAGATTGGACGAATTGGCCGGGCGTTAACAGGCCTGGCCTAAGCCCAGGCCTAAGCTAAACCTAAGCCCAACGCAAGCCCAAGCCTAAGCCTAAACATAAGCCCAGGCGTCAACCCAGGCCTAAGCCTAAGCCTAAGCCTAGGCCGAACACTAAGCCTGGTCATAATCCTGAGCCTAGCCTAAGCCTACGCTTAAGCCTATGCCGAAGCCTAAGTCTATGCCTAAGCCGACGCCTAAGCCAAGCCTAAGACAAGATTTTAGGCCCAGCTTAAGCAAAACCTAGGCCAAGCCTAAGCCTAAGCCTTGCCTAAGTCTATGCCTAAGCCTAAGCTTAAGCTTGAGTCCAGCCTAAGCACAAGGAATCTTGCAAAAATTAACGGGATTCCATTTTGATGCATCTGCAGTTGGGGGGGTCGCATAGCTAATTGGTGGAATCTGAGGGCCCCAGGGGCAATCTATGCACATCTCTCTCCCTCTATCTCTCCCTCACCTTCCAAATCCCCCGTGCAAAAAGAGACCCAATTTCCACTGCGGCACCAAAAAACGAACCGGCTTCTTCGCTTCCCCCACTCCCAGCAGTCATTATGCAGCCCTCCCCATCCTTGGCCCAGCAAAAAAGGCCAAAATACCGACAACCAAAATCCCGACAGCCAAAATCTCGATAGCCAGACTCCCGACAGCCAGAAACTCCAGATTTTAACCCCCCATTTATGGGTAAAACGGCCGGAAACATCACATTTTCGTTGTCGGGATTTCGGTTATGGAGATTTTGTCGGGATTTTGGATCGATGTCTGGCCTTGGGATTGTAGCTGGAATTAGTTTTCCTCGAAATTTTGTTAGAATATCGACCGTTTTCGGCGAAAAATCGACGTTTTTATTTTTTATTGTTTTAGTGAATAATGAATAAGCATTTCCCGCGACATGCGACGCGCCCCATAGCCCCCCGAGGTGGCAAAGCGGCGTGCGCGTTGCGTGTCGTGGCAGCGGCAGAAGCTATAGGGAATGCTAGCCAAGAAATCCATAGCTATGCCTTGTGAGGTCCTTTAAAGAGAGCCTGCCATCTATACCCGGAAGTACTTGTTTAAAAATGGGTTTTTGGTAAAAATATGTTTTGCCAAAATCCAGAGATACGAAAGCCGCGATGCTGCTAATCTCGAATGGCAAGCGCACCACTAATATTGAAAAATTTACCTTTGCCTTTACAGATGTTAAGGCGAGAGAGAGAGAGAGAAGCAGAGAGAGAGGCATAGAGAAAGGCAGAGAGAGCAGGCAAGAGAAAGAGGGGGGAGAGTGAGAGAGGGAGAGGCAGAGAGAGAAGGAGAGAGCGGGAGAAAGAGGAGAGAGACGAAGAGGCAGAGAGAGAGCGAGCGAGGGAGAGAGAGCCCGCGCGAGAGAGAGCGAGAAAGCGTGAGAGCGAGAGGGAGACAGAGAAGCAGAGAGAGAGAGCGAGCAAGAGAAAGAGAGCAATTCGCAAAACGAGGTGATGATCAGAGTGGTCGATTCTAACAGGGTTTCAGAGTATTTCTGGATTTCGATGAAACATCCAAAATAGAAAATCCAAATTTGCTGGAATTATTTTGCGGGACGGCTGCAATTCGAGCCAAAACCCGGCCCGATTGAAATCCGAGCCGGGCGCCCGACTTTTCAAATTTCCTACCGGCATGCCTAAATCTGGCAGAATGCCACGGTTGCAGGGTTTTTCAAACCAAGAAAAGGTAAATCCAAATTTAGGTAAAAACACTTTTCAAATAAAAAGTCATAGCCAGGATAATTTTTGGGGTCTTTACGGACGACATGGAATTGGCACTTTTGAGAGCATTGTTTAATCAACAAGATGTGAAACACACGTCATTCATTCATTCAAGGTCGTCACATGTGACAATTCATTGAAATGACAACTAAAACAATCTATATTCATTTGACAATTCTATTTTGAAATTTAATAGTATCTATAATTGCTATAAAAACATTCTAAAACATTGTTTGCAACGCAACTAAGATAAGAAACGAATGCTGCCTCCAATTTCAACGCCCACCACCCGGGTTAATTTGTTCTTTGCGCCGCAGTACAATCTAATTATTATGCGGAAAGGGAAGGAAACCTTTCAGGATCCACACAAATTAGGGCCTCTCGGGGTCCGTCCATTTCCTCAAACAATCTCTGCTAGCCTGCCCTCCTCTCGGGGTCCGTCCATTTCCTCAAACAATCTCTGCTAGCCTGCCCTCCTCTCGGGGTCCGTCCATTTCCTCAAACAATCTCTGCTAGCCTGCCCTCCTCTCGGGGTCCGTCCATTTCCTCAAACAATCTCTGCTAGCCTGCCCTCCTCTCGGGGTCCGTCCATTTCCTCAAACAATCTCTGCTAACCTGCCCTCCTCTCGGGGTCCGTCCATTTCCTCAAACAATCTCTGCTAGCCTGCCCTCCTCTCGGGGTCCGTCCATTTCCTCCTCCAATCTCTGCTAGCCTGCCCTCCTCTCGGGATCCGTCCATTTCCTCAAACAATCTCTGCTAGCCTGCCCTCCTCTCGGGGTCCGTCCATTTCCTCCTCCAATCTCTGCTAGCCTGCCCTCCTCTCGGGATCCGTCCATTTCCTCCTCCAATCTCTGCTAGCCTGCCCTCCTCTCGGGGTCCGTCCATTTCCTCAAACAATCTCTGCTAGCCTGCCCGCCACTAGGGTTTTCCTCTGTGGTTTTTAGACCTCACCAAAAATCTGGTGTTTTCGTGGGAGCCTGAATTAAGACAAAAATTACACGAAAATCAGTCCAAAAAGGGCGAAACGCCTGGGAAATGCAAAAAATGTTGGTTCTTTGGTTTTGGTGGGAAAAGGAAATGGCCAGGTTGGGGGCAAAAGTCGAGGCGCTGAATGTCTAATGTTTCAGCTCTTTGGGGGTGAATCACTGGACCGGAAGGGCTGCAATTCGAGGAAAAACCTGGCTAGGAAAATCTAAGCCTCTAAGCGGGTGCCTGTCATGAAAGAACCATGATTTGCCTACTTTTACAACAAGAAAAATGCGATAAAAGTTTCAGTCCGGGCGAAAAACCGCTTCGCGACGTTTCGTCCATTGTGGCGGCTTCAGCGTTGCAAGTGGCGCGCCCGGCAAGCCACACGCAACGTAATCGGGGCGCGTCGCGTGTCTCGGCCTGGCCTGCGCGCTGCACACCTTCCTCAACGCGTTGCGTGCCGCTCCCTGCATGTTGCGTGTCTCGGCTGGCGCACTACGCGTCTGCCACAACGCAAGAGTAAAAAAATAAATAAGAGAGTAAAAACTTTTTGAACTGAGTTTTTACTTGTGTGCGGGGTCGTTTTAAAAAGGGTTTTTCCTCTCGAAAAACCGTAGGTTCCGGGTTAATCCTGGAGGCCACAAAAACAGGACGTTCGGTCAGCAGGAAGACGGCAATGGAAAAAGACCAGATTAGTTGAGGGACTACGGGGTATTTTTATGGATTGCCTCAAGGGGGCACAACCAAAACACTTCGGCCTCTCTTTTCCACTCAGGACGGCAGGGAAAAAGAAGGAGAAAATAGACCCGGGAGGATGGCAGGCTAGCAGAGATTGGAGGAGGAAATGGACGGACCCCGAGAGGAGGGCAGGCTAGCAGAGATTGGAGGAGGAAATGGACGGACCCCGAGAGGAGGGCAGGCTAGCAGAGATTGGAGGAGGAAATGGACGGACCCCGAGAGGAGGGCAGGCTAGCAGAGATTGGAGGAGGAAATGGACGGACCCCGAGAGGAGGGCAGGCTAGCAGAGATTGTTTGAGGAAATGGACGGACCCCGAGAGGAGGGCAGGCTAGCAGAGATTGTTTGAGGAAATGGATGGACCCCGAGTGGAGGGCAGGCTAGCAGAGATTGTTTGAGGAAATGGACGGACCCCGAGAGGAGGGCAGGCTAGCAGAGATTGTTTGAGGAAATGGATGGACCCCGAGTGGAGGGCAGGCTAGCAGAGATTGTTTGAGGAAATGGACGGACCCCGAGAGGAGGGCAGGCTAGCAGAGATTGGAGGAGGAAATGGACGGACCCCGTGAGGAGGGCAGGCTAGCAGAGATTGTTTGAGGAAATGGACGGACCCCGTGAGGAGGGCAGGCTAGCAGAGATTCATTAGGAAAAGCGCGAACCTCATAAAAGTGCCATCCGCAATGCCTAGAAAACTATGTTTCGAAAAAGTGTTAGGGCCAAAGAATTTTGTTGGGCATAGTTAAGTGACAGAATTGATTATTAACGCTACACTTTTCGCGTCTCTCCCTCTCTCTCTCTCTCTCTCTCTCTCTCTCTCTCTCTCTCTCCCACTCGCTTTCTCTTCCTCTGGCTTGTTGATCTATTATGCTGACACTGCTTGCTTTACTTGCTTCACTGCCTTTGCTTTGATTGATCATATAGTAGGTTTAGTACATATTTATTCAAATAAAAAATGCGAGGCTTTGGGCGTGGGAAGGGCGCGAAGTAGCAGAAGTTCGCAGAAGATCATTGGTGGCCCTTGTAGTGGTCTCTCCGGTGGTTTCTCCTAAAAAAGCGGCAATAACGAATATCGTTGATGCTTACAAATGGCTCCTCCCAGCAGCCGCTTCTTTGGGTAGATGTGGAGGATGGCGGCAATGTGAGCCGGCTGAAAGCAAAAGCGGTTCTTTTCCATTATCGGGGGGGGGGGGTATCGAGGTGTAACCAAATTTTTTCTTAGGAGCTAATTTTTGAAATATAAACAGCGGAAGTGCTTCTAAGCGGCTACAAGATATTTTATTAATTTTAATTTATTTTTGGCGAGTCCAGCACATCTCCCGGATTCTCAAATTTTTGAAATTGTTCTATCATTTACTAATGTTGCTAATTCTAATATAATAATTCTAATTCTAATTTATTAATGTTGCTCTGACCAAGGGGTTTTTTCCAAAAACCGCAATTTAAGAATTTTTACGCCTTTCCTGGCAGCTTTTTGAAAGCCGGTTGCGAAAACACAGCCCGATGGCGCTTAAACCAGTTAAATTGCGTCTTAGACAAAAAGCGTGTCCTTTTTGCATGAAAAGTGCCGAAAATCGAGCAAAAAATTCCGACATTTTGCAAATCGGCGAGTCGTGCTAGACTCGCCTTTCCGAGAGCTTTCGATAGATACCTAAATCGTAAAAATCGTACACGTCTGCGACCGGCTAAGGGGGGGTTGGGACACTCTGTTGAGAAGTGCACTTACCAGCACAAAACCAAAACTGTGTAGGCGTCTGGCCAAACATTCCGTGCATCCCCCGAGAAGATCTGGAAGTGACAATGGGAGGTTTGTTCCATGCTTACTGTAAAGTGTTTTTACTCAACTTGGAGGTTTCGATTCGGGACAAGTGCATCTTGTGCAGAATTTTTCGCTGATTCCGAGTTCGTTTTCCAAATTTGCTGCGGACTTTTATTTAAAAAGTAATTTGGTGCCAATTAAGCACAAAAAAGCCAAAAGTTAGGATTCTGGCCCACTATTCCCTCCTTGGTCCTAGGACGCCCAAGTGCCCGTTGCCCGGTTGGCACCATGGTGCATTGGCAAAGCCCTCGCTAGCCAAGCGCAGGGCGGCGGTTCGATCCCCCGCCCTGACACAACCTTTTGCTTTTTGCATAGCAAATCTAATTCTTTTATCAAAAAGCTTGCTTTGACGCTTAAGGTACTTGTCTAGCCAATGTCTATCCAATTTTGACGTTAAAATTGATCAAGATATTCGAAAGCGATAACGGGACCTTGATTTTGGTGACAAACTCTACCATAAACGGCCTTATAACTTTCAAAGTAAATGTCGGTAGCAAATTTGGAAAGTCGATTCGGAATCAGCGAAAAATTCTGCACAAGGTGCAATTGGTCTCGAAACGAAACTCCAACTTGAGTAAAAACACTTTACAGTTAGGTCGTTTTATCTTAGAAGACGCCTACGGGATGGGGAGGCTTAGGTATGAACGCACCAGCCGAGGGATCCGCAAGTTTGGCCGAATCCGGGCACTGCGTGGGACATCGGTTTTTCTCGCCTGTCCATCTCCTTAATGTAGGCTATCACGGAAAATGGTTGGAAGCCAAACTCGATTTTGTCGGCGCAGCGCCGACAGCAGCGAAGAATTCCTTTATTGTGCTTGAGTTCGAGCGAGGAGCAAGCGACGCAAGCACCCTTTGCTATTTTTCGGAACAGACGGGCGAGACTCGACGCCGTCTCCGCGGCATTTGGAGGCTGCAAGTAAAACATCAAATTGGGCACGAAAATTGGTAAGAACCTCATTTGGGCTCTCGTAGGAGACCAGGTATGGAAGGGACAAGAAGCCCTCACGATCGTAGTAGGTTTTCACTCCGACGACCCGATCTCCCGGCTGTAATGTAATCCTTTATCTGCGCAAGGCGGTCCGACTTGGCGTGAAAACGTTGGGCATCCGCGGCGTCCCAAAAAAAAACCCTCCCGTCCCTCCCCCAACTTTGAACGGGAAACACCCCATGTTGATATTCGAAACCGCGTTTAAAGGGCACGTTCAGGGACCTATTTTGGAAAAAAGCAAAGATTTATGCCGCGGCCGGGGGTCGAACCCGGGCCCCCCGCTCGGGAGGCGCGGATGCATACCAGTCAGCCACAGTCAGGGACGTAGCGTAATACAGGCCCCGGGGGCCCGGGCCCCCCCCCCCAAATCGGCCGGGGCCCGAAAATTTCATAAGGGGGGACCCTTATGATTTTTATTTTCTCTAAAATTTTGCTGCCTGCGGCGCTATTTTTTCACGTTTTTACGGCTATTTGTAGAGCTATGCAACCTTGTTTTCAAAAATTTTTGCCTGCGGCGCTGTTTTTTCGGTAATGTTTTGAGTTTTTTGGAAAATTTTTTTGGGGCCCCCCCGAAATTTTTTTCTGGCTACGTCCCTGGCCACAGCTACAACCTGGCGAGGGGGCGAGGGGCGCCCGACGCCGCAAAGGAGGGGAATGGCCTGTCACAGCACGGGCAGGCCGTGCGCACGGTCCATACGTCCATAGGGTGTACACGTTGGGACGAGTATACGTCCCCTCCCTGAACGTGCGCTTTAAATATTGCTTTTGCGGCAACCATCACCTATTTGGATAACAGTGCACCTTGCTCTATATTTTAGATGTAGTCTCAATTTTAATAAAGATTCGAATACCGACTTTGCGCTGTCCTTGAGATCGTGAGCATGTTTCGAGAGCTGAGCGCGTAGCAGCTTTCACATTTCTCCCAATTCGAATGTCGCCCAAAGCCACGCTATAAAATGCCAGTATAAAAAAAATATTGATATGAATAATAGAGACCAGCGTTGAAAAGGAAAAATGATACCTAGCTGGGCGAATGGCACCGAGCAGCAGTTTCAGGCCCATCGGAGGATCCAGACGGGTCGAAAACGAATGATATTTTTCGCTACGCTTTTCGTTGGTTTTATACCAAAACACATCACCTCACATCACATTCAAATCACGGCAGAAAGCGGAAATTGAAATTTCACACGCAAATTAGGGCTACGGTTTACTTTACCCCCTCCCCCCCAGCCGGAAGTTTTTGGCGATAACTTTTTTTATTTTACACCAGGGTTGAAAAGCCGCTTCGCGACTTTTCAACCCTGGCCCCGTCCAACCCAATGGAAGTTTACACTTTACATAATTCGGCACGACACACGCTGACAAAAAAAGTGAAAAATGCGCTCTCTGCTCCTTTACTCTCCCCATTTCCGGTGTATGCTAATTGATTCCTAACAAAGAGGGTCTCGAATTTTTCAATAAAAACTAAAATTTAATTTCGAAAATAGGCGATTTTGATAAATCTGGTATGCGTGCAGTCATCTCCTGGACATTACGCATCTAATGACGTATCATGCATAGCTCTAAATACTTCCGTTCTTGAGATACTGCTGGAACAACCTGACGGAGTCATGCAAATTGTCATACACACACATACAAACACTATTTTTTTTATATATAGTAGGATTATTGTAGGCTCAAATTAAAAATATTAGTATATTTAAGCGGTTTTCAACCCTGGCAAGGTGGAGATGCCGTTTCGGCGCACATTTTCTGTGTTTAAGGCTGTAATTACATGCATATTTTTGGGGTAGGGGTCGGAATCTCGAAATTTCGGAATCTCGAAATTTCGGAATCTCGAAATTTCGGAATCTCGAAATTTCTGAATCTCGAAATTTCGGAATCTCGAAATTCCGGAAATATTAGCAGATTCCTGGAAGCAAAACTATTATGTATCCAAATTTTTCAGATGCAAATACAAGATTTCCGATAAAATTAAAAGTATACCCCCTGAAAAAAGGTGTTTCTCAACTCGTCGTTTCAAGGGCTTTCGGATGGTATAACTATCATCCCGATCCGACGATTTTTCCGTCGAGTTAGAGGGGGTGTTTTCTTTTATCGGGACCATTTATATTTGAATATCTATTTGCATATGGGTATCTCCAATACTTCGAGATTCCGACTATCACCCATATTTTTCGCGTTTCCGGATTCAATTTTTATTGTATTCGTTTATTCAACTTTTATGGCAATCTA